CTCAATTCCACATGGTGATTCTTGGTTGATTGCGTCTAAAATAGTTTAAATGGTTCTTCCCTTCTGGGGAGAGAGAGAAGGGCGCAAAAGACCAAGGAGGAAAAAAAAGCCAACTTTTCCCCCCCACGCCAGGCACTTGCTCCCTGAGCCTCGGAGTGGAGAGTGAAGTGGTGTGTGCGAGGCTTGGCAAGTTTTTGGGGGGGCTGTCCAAGGTCTAGTCCAACCCCCTCTGCCGAGGAGGACGTGCTCTGAAACTCAACCAATTTCCCCACTGCTTTTGTTACTGATGAACTGAAGCCCTATTGTTCATCCATTGCCACGGTCTTTTTCAGTCCCCACACTACGTTCTGCGTTGCCAGAGATAATGAATTTGCACCCAAACCTCTCACAGTCCCCTCCTGACAGACGGAACAAATTAGAAATGTCTCGTCTGAAGGAAGGCAATGGCTACATTTTCTTATTGTAGGATGCAAAGCACACATTTCTTTGGAAACTTCTTTTGCTTTTTTTTAAAAAAACCTTTTCTTCTTTCTTTTTTCTTCCAGTTTTTTTCCCTCTCTTGATTTCCTAAGATTTTTTTTTTTTAAAGAGTCGCCCTGTCGTTTTTCCAATGCACCGTTTTATGTAACTTGTGAGTCTTCCTAACCTTCTTCCCCTTCTTTCCTCTCCTTTCTTAAGGACTCCCTTTGCAATTTTATTTACAAACTTGGAGAATGACCTTTTGACTCGCAGACTTTTTTTTAAAAAAAAGAAAGGTCTTTTGGTTCAAGTCCCCCCTTCCTCACCCCTCCCCGTTTGTGTTGTGGTTGTTAAATGTGTTTGTCTAAAGACAAGCAATGCATTCTAAAGATTTTTATTCTCTAAACTCCAGAGCTATTCTAAAGGTACCAGGGACGTGCCATAAGGGTTATCTATTTGAGGAGGAAGAAAAAGCGTGTCGTGTGTGTGTGTGTGTGTGTGTGTGAGTGTGTACGCGTGCGCGCGCCAGCGCGCGCGCGTGTGTCTGTCTTCCAGGGAGAGACGGAGAGATGTTGGAGGGTTGGGGTGGAAGTGTGCAGACAGAAAAGGGTGGGGGCTTCGAGGGGAAGGTGGGCTTCCTGCCACACAAGCGGGGAGGCTGTCAGCGGTGTGGGCGCAGGGGTGCGGGGGAGCCGAGTGCCGTCTACCCCTCTGGGCCTGTTCGCGCGCCCAGGACTGGCCGCAGCCTGGGCGCGGGTGTCTGAGCGCCCGGGCTGTAGTTCCGAGCCTGCGCGCGTGCGACCGGGTACGGGAGGGGGAAGAGTGCCGTAAAAATTCAGAAGAGTGGCCCGTATGTAAATGCAGCCCGGGGGGAGCACGGAGGCGGTAATGAGAGCCGCTGGCGCGCAGCCCCGCCGGCGGCCCCTAGCTTTCCCGCCAAGTGCAGCCGGAGGACAGACAGCCATGCGTGTCCTTGGCGGGAGAGCCCCCACCCGTCGCGCGCTCCCGCCCCCCGCGCACACGCACACGCACACACTCCCCTCGCAGGCGTGGGGCCCAATGGCCAAGAGCATATCAGGAAAACAAAGCTGGGGCTGCGAGGTGGAACGCTGAAACTGCAGCCGCAGCGGCCGAGGGCAGAGCGGAGAAGTCCCCATCGCGGCCACCAGCGCCCCTTTCTTGCCTGCTCGCAGCCCTGCCCTCCGGCCCAGAAGAGGCCGAGGACCATTTCTTAGCTGCCCGGGAGAAGGTGGCGAGCAGAGGAGGGGGCGGATGTGCACAGGGAGGTGCCAGCAGCCCGGCGCGCGGGCACGCACACGCCGGCGCGCAGGGCTGCCGCGGGCGGAAGGAGGGGAACGAGAAGGCCTCGGCTGCGTCTCGGGGAGGCACTACCTCTGCGCCGAGGCCGCTGAGTTCCAAGTGCAAAACACCAGGCCAAATCCGGCAAGGCATCGGCTACGGAATGACTCACACCTCAAGCCCCCTTCCCCAAACAATGCAATGGGAAGAATCTGGCTGTCCAGGGGAAACATTTGCTGGCCTCTCTTTTTAAAGAGGTGAACTCGAACCCCAACCTAGGACCTCTGGCCTGCATGGCTCTGCAGATAGTCCCAGAGGTAGCCACGGAAAGACTGATCTCTCTCTTCGCTCGGAGCACCTGCCTCGGTGCTCACTAGCGCAAGCACCTGCCAACACACACACACACACACACACACACACACACACACACACACACACACACACACACACACACACACCCCACAGCACTCCCATCACATTAGAAAGCGTGCTCATGACCCTGCTATTAATGAAGCGGACGCGCATAATGAGTGCACAGGTAAATAAGTACCGAAACGAAAAGCCTTCACCAATCGGCTGGGCGATTTACCTCTCCCTACAGGGAACACTTGTAGTTATCGTGTTTTAGGAGTGATTTGCTGTTGTCTGTGGTCTCCCCCTCCTCTTCTTGTGGAGAGAAGCCAAAAATATATATGTTCCATGGTCAGAGTCTTCTTTCTGATACGCTACCCGAGCATTGGTCTAAAACATTTGTTTTTGTCTGTTGGTTTTGGTTTGTTGTTTTGGGGAGTGTTGCTTTTCTGAGGGAAGCAAAAGAACGTGTGTTTGGTGGGGCTGGAAGCGCAGGGCAAGAGTCTGCAAGTGCGGCCGGAAGGCTGGAGAGTCTGAGCCGCGTGTTGCAGAAAGAAGGCGGCGGCTTGTCCTCCCTCGGGGACGGCACTGGCCCCCTTGGCACCTCCGGCCTGGGCTCGGCTACTGCCGCCGCCGCCCGCGCTCTCGAGCTCCGCCGGCTGCCGCTCCGTGTTTTCCCCCATCCCGGCTTCACGTTCAAGGTTTAGCTGCGAGGTCACGTCCATTGACGTCAGCTCCCTGTCTCCCTCTACGTCCGGCTACATTTACATACATCAAGGAAATTAGGGCATTAAAAAAATATGCAAATCCTGCGCGGAGAGGAGCGGGTGCATTCCTGGCGCGATCGCCTTTTATTGAAGCTTTTAATTAAAGGGGCCAGTTGGCGAGCCCCTGAAACAACCGCCAAAACCCCCCAAAAGAGAAAAATAAACGCTGTAGCCTTCGAGAACGGTTGTTTCGGCTCCTGTTCTGTAGGCGGCTGAGGACGGCCGGCTGCCCGGCTCGGAGAAGAACAGGTTAGAGGAGGCAGCTCCAGCCCGTGCATAATCAGGGCTCCGCGGCGCCTCCATTCTTTCCTCCTCCTCCTCCTTCTCCTCCTTCTCCTCCTCCTCCTCCTCCTCCTCCTCCTCCTTGTCCTCCTCCTCCACCTCTCCTCCTCCTCCTCCTCCACCTCCTCCTCCTCCTCTTTTTCTTGCTCTCGCTCCTGTTGGTTCCAGCGTGTATTATTTTTAATACCGATGCATATGTAAAAGTATATTTGCATTTTTTAATTCGCGAAAATTTCAGGTTTTGTCATTTTATTGGTTCCCCTTCTCTCCCCCTTTTTTTTGTTTGTTTGTTTTTGGAGGTTTTTATGTTTTTATTTTATTATGTCTCTCTGTCTCTCTTGTCCCTTTCTGTCTTTTTTGGCGAGTGTCTGTTGCTGTCTCTTGCTAGATAATATACACAGTTGTCTCCCTGCTTGTTTATTTAAGGTTACAAATATGCACATCTGTCATGTATGCAATGCCAGCTGTATAACCTCCTGGTTTGGTCATAAAAGACAAGACACATTTTTTTTTCTTTCCTGACATACCTGGATGGGCTGTAATGTCCATCGCTCAAGGCTCAAAGTTTGATTGTCTAATTAACTTCATATTAGCAAAAACACAGTTCAGGGCCAGTGCTTTCGAGATAATGTATGTGTAAGTGAAGTGATTCCAAAGATTTCTAAAGAATTTTTGTGCTGATTGCCTGAGAGGTGTGGCTTTCCCCGCCCTATTGCTTTCTAGCATTTCTTATTTATATAAAATATATATATATATATTATATATATATATTTGCAATGTGTGTGTGTGTGTGTGTGTGTGTGTGTGTGTGTGGACACACAGCAATGGACAGCCTTCTGCAAGGAAGACATTTTCAACCATGTTGTGTGTTGTGCCTTATCGGCTGCATTCAAAATTTACTGTTTCATTTTCATCTTAATATGGCTGGAAACAAGGCACAGTATCTTGGCGGAAAAGCATCCTTGATTCCTGACTTCGAAATGAAAACAAATACACAAATAAAACAGTTGACTATATTAAACCAGTTAATGTGCCTTAAAATATACAGGCCTTGAGTTAGATTTCAAGCAATGGGAATCTTGTTTATAGGATCGGATCTCTTTCTTGGCAATATAGCTATGCAGCACGATAGCTAGTGGAATATATATATATATATATATTCCACTTTTTAAATTCCCCCAAAGACATCATTTTAAAAAGACTCAATCTATAATTGCATAGCCTCAAAGAAGAGCAAATATGCACACATGCAGCTTATTCAATTAAACAAGTCCAAGTACATGCACAGGTAATTAGTTTTCTTATGAATGACTTACCTGCACAGATACTCAAGCCAAGACTCAGCCCTCCCCAATGGCTTTCATGTGTAAATATTCACATGTATTCCCCCTTATTTCAAACCTAAAGCTGTATGCCATCTTTCATGCTGGACTATCCAGCATCCATTTTTCAGCGCCCTTAACTCTTATGGCATATCCAGCCTTACCTCTGGCTTTAGTTTTTCCAAACCTACACCAAAGTGCTCATATGATCTGTCACCCAATAAACAGTGGTCAGATGGCTACACGTATAACATTAAAAAACGGAAACACACTCATCCTTCAGGTTCGCCCTTTCCTTGCCATATATAGCAAGATTACATTTCCTAAAATAAATTTTCAGCACATTTTATGAATAATTGCAGGATTCCACAACTGGTT